TCAAATGGAGGAGAAGTGATCTGGATCACGAATTGAGCAGGCTGGAGACATTTTTGGTTCGCGGTCGGCTAGTGCATGGGAGGGCAACGCGATGGCAATGCTAGAATTTTATTACTCACGAATGTAGGACACAACAACATAGACGTGGTCACGAATAATAGAAGCGACCGCACCGCAGTTGAAACCACAATTACAAAACACGCCAATCAAACAGACAGAATAAGCCAGTTCAACTCAGAAGCTGATTTGGGTAGTCTAACCAATCACACTCTAAATTTCTATGTTTTTTGATATCCAAACCTGCATATTATGAAAAATATTAATTGTGTACGTATGACGGTTATTCGGGAGTATTGAAGGGTTATCTGGCAGTTATTGAGGTTAATACCCCCAATAAACTCACAAACCCTCGAACGACAAGAAATAAAATGAGTGTGTTAATACTCAATAATCTCAATAACTTAGGGCCCGTTTGGGGCAGTTTATTTGGTGCGGTGACGTTTTGTAAACTCACCTGGCCTGTTTGGGTAATCTGCGTTTTGGCAGCTTATGCGTTTTTAAAACGCAGAACTTCTTGACAATGATCTAATTTTTTCAAAAAAATAAAAATTTATAATAGTCGCTACATCTAACTTATCAATAGATTATTTTTAATTAGATTATAAGGTTATTGCAGGTCACGTGCTTATGAGCTAAGCTCTCATATTAGGCTCTCACAACGCATCCATGAGGCCACTCGATCCGAGAACTCTCTCCGAACCGGAAATAGAGGCGCGACTGATGAGAGAGAAAGAAAGGCTACGTGAGATGCGCGGCGTAGGTGGCCCGCTGCTCTGCATCGGTGATCTGCTCAGCGACGTCGGCGACGATGTTGTCGTCGACGGAGACCGTCGGAAGAGTCCTCCTCCCTCACAACCAACTACGGCCTCCTTAGATTCCCTTTCGCCCCATGATCTTCAGCAACTCTTTCAGGTAACCCTCACAATTTCCTACTCCGCTTCTCCCAATACTATTCTTGCAATCATCTCTACATACCTTACTCCTTCAGTCTTTCTTCCCAACATGTGATGGAGTTAGGGATAACCAGCGTCAATGGTGATCGGCTTCCTAGAATCTTGATAGTCGTTCTGGATGGGGAAATGACATTAGGACTAACGTTCCGTTCGCCTTTTGCTTGTCAGACAGAACTGTTTCAATACTAATTATTAGAATAAATTGACAAGGAAATGCATCATTCAAGGTTTAATTGGATGAACGGCAAGTAAATAAAAAAAAAAATTATAAGCAGGATTGGGGAGCTACATTGATACCAGAGTTGACCCAAATCACAACTAAATCTCAAATTTTATTGTTGAATTCATAAGGTTACAACGATGAATCCTCAACTCAAAATAACTCAAACATGTAAATGGTAAATGACAACGACAATGCTACAAAACAATACTGAAAACAGTACAGAACACATAAAAGACTGATTAGAGGAGAGCGACAGGCCTGGAAGGGGAGGGAGGAAGCTGCGACAGTGTTGGACGATGGATGATAGCCTGTGGCTACGGCGTTGGATGGCATAGGAGTGATGGCGGTCTGTTAAGAGGAGGCTGACAACAAGTGGTTGCGATGGCAAAGGAAGTAGGAGTGGTGGCAAAAGGAGTAGGAGTGGTGGTGGTGGTCTAGACAACAGCAAGAACAGGTGTCTGGTGGATAGGCAACAGCCATAAGAGGTGTGGTGGGCTGAACAACAATAGGAAGAGTAGACGGTGGGCGGGACAGCCAGGAATAGGTGTATGGGCTGTCAGCGGCAACAACAGGTCCAAAAGGGGCTGGCGACAACAAAGGCAGACCTTGGAGTGCTAGCAGAAGCAAATACAGGCTCTGGAAGGTTGGCGACTACAGGAAGGGATGGAACGAGCGGAGATAATTACCATCTCGGTCAAGATATAGTCGGAGTACCTTTTCATCATCAAATACAACTTCAGAAGGGAGAAACTCCTTAAATGCAACAAATTGAAATAAAAAACAACCAATTAATAATCCCTTACCAAGCAAACAACATATATATATATATATTATATATATAGAATAGTTTCTAGTGGTTAAAACATGAAGGAACTGGAATTGGAAATAAATAGAATAAAAAGGGAATAGAAAAGGCTAGTATTATAATATGAAAGGGATAGAAAATGCAAGAAATATAATAGGAAGGGGATCCTCTTATGGAAAGAAGGGAAATAGGAAGTAGGAGCCCCCCCCCTGAAGGCCTACCAGCCTAGCCTTCTGCTGGACTGGGACCCATTCTGGCCGACTCAACTGAACATTCCATAAGTCATGCGTCAATCTCCCAAGGTTAGGGGAACTTCGACATTATTTGTCAAAGTTTCTAATTCTTTGTGTGCAATCTTAGCAGCACCTCGATCCCACTGACAACTACACCATCCTCCAAGGCATCGAGGGTCTTTCCCAACTTACAAGCAAACATCAACATCGGTCCATTCTTCTGGGATTCTACTAGTGAATTGAGTCTGTTTCATGCCTCTGTTGCTAAATACTCTCAAAGTAATCTATAGTCAGCTTAACCGGATTTGAAGTGGGAATAACCTGAACCTCCTCACACAATGGAAGCGCTCGTGGTAATCAATCAGCTGTGATATCTTGAAATGCCGTCTGTCGTGTCTGTCCTGTGTTTAGAGCTAGCGTCTCAGGCCTATCATCCATTTTCATCACTACAACTTGTCCCACCGATGTTGCTCTGCTGGCAATGGTGCCTGTGATCTCGTGCTTCATCAAAGGGAGAAATTCTATGTGATTTCCATTCTTGGCGAAAGAATGTGTTTCTAAATCCGTCGTGCCGAGTCATCTAGTCGAATTGTCACCTTTTCCCCAATAAAAGTCGGCAGACATCCATGATGGCCACGTCGCATCACACCTGATCATGTAGTTATCTCCTAATCGAAAACTCCGCTAAGCACCTCCGATCAATGCTAACATTGTTTTTCTTCTTCAACCATGTCAGAGAATATGACTGGGAGTGTCGTTGAGTCATGAGGCTCAATTTCTCCACTATTTGTGTAGACGACACTTTTTTACTTCTTTCTTCATCGATGATGAGGCTGCATACCTTCTCTTGTACAGTGCAACGGGTGTAGAATATATCGTGATGAGGTCACTGCGAATCCCTTGTATCCTTAGTCAGTAGAACCCGTCAAACCACGAGCTGCTAGCCCTTATTAGGTGGAAGATGACGCATCTCACTCTGTTCCTCAACTATCTCCTCGTCGCTAACCTCCTTCACGTCACCCTCCTCAGTAAAAGATGCAAATTGACTCATCTGGCAGCTCGAGGTAATGTGTCCAAAACCTTGGCATCTTAAGCATTTTTTGGCAGAGACTGTAGTTGGCTTGCTACTCTTCTCAGGCTTCTTCTCACTGGGGGTGGCTCTATCCTTATTTGAATTAGTTTTCTCAACTATTTGTGGTGCACTCCTAATGGTATCTCCAATTGTGGGTGATTGCTTGACTGGTGGTGGTCTTGTTCTATTGCTGCTGTGACCAAATGAAAATATGTTGAGATTTTTATATTTATTTTACACTGATTTTGATGATATTGCACTTTAAAGAAATGTATTTTTGATGTTTTGTTGTAGATATGTTGAATTATAGTCATTGGAGCAAAAATATGCAAAAATGAGCGAATTTGGAGCAAAAAAGACCAAAATATGATGATTTGATTTTGGGCGTCGACCGACGACGGGATCGACGCCGCCGACGGCGAGTTTTTCCCGAGAGTCCCTAGAAGGCCGTCGGCGGCGCCATCGAGGCCGCTGACGGCGAGCACGTCGGTTCGCTCAACAGATGCATTGAATGTGTTCGACTTTTTAAGGGATGCTTGGGCAACTCTTGAAAACTTTTCTACAACTTTAAAAGAAACATTTGGAGGCCTAAAAAGGGGGTGTTTGCTGAGTCTTGTTGTTTGTGGTGCCCATTAGAGTGTAGAGAGTGGTTAGTATTGTGAGGAATTCTTCGAGAAATTGTAAGAGTGGAGGAAAAGTGAAAGATTTTTTCCTCCTTGCCGCTTCGAAAGAGAATTCTGTGTGTTGTAAAGAAAGGAAGAGATTCAGAGGAACTTCGAGGAGTTTGTTTGGGGAGGAATTAGAGATAAGTTGTATTTACTTATTGAAGTTTGTATGACTTTGCTTTTATATATAACTTATAAGTTTTCTCGTATCTTCTCTATGAGTGTGAAATAGTGATTTGAATTGGTTGTGTCATGAGAATGTTAAAGAAGTTGTGATGATCTTTTCACTTCAATCTTAATTTACTTTCAATCTGACCAATTGATTTGTTAAAATATGTTGAGTTTTAAAACTAAAGTGAAGATTGCATCTAAGATTTAGGGAGGTCAAAGTCCTTGAAAGTTGAATGCAAATAAATAGGAAAATAAAAATTATCGGGCGTAAAATTGGAGATTTTAGAGTGACAGACTAAAATCCTAAATTCGGTCCTATCGTTTGGGTGCTGAAGTGTAGATGTTAGCCCTCAGGCGAGGGGAACGTGGGAGCTCTAAAGTGAGAGCCGGTATCCTCCCAGCATAGCCGCAGATTCAGTAATCAAGAATATGATTAGTCAATGTTCTTTATGTTTGGTCCAAAGGGTAAAGAATAAGTATACTCCTATTTGACACAATACAATTTGAACTGATTCAATTTATCCATTCACTTAAATTTTTTGACAAGGAGAATGATGCTTTCTTATATATTGAACTTCACATTATAAACTTTATTAGTAGAATTAGTTAATTAAGACTTTGTTAAAATTTCATTTTTATTTCAATTGCCTATTAGTGATAAATATGCAATTTGAATCATATTGTTGTGATTAAGTATTGATTTTTTAAATCTTAGTTCTAGTCGCTAATATTACTCTCTGTGAGATCGATATTTAGGACTCAATTAGAACCTTGTATTACTTGAGCGATACATATACTTGCATTGATAAGTGTGACTTTGCAATTATTGAATATTTTATACACATCTTTATCAAATCTATAACCGTTATCAAGTTTTTCGCGCCGTTGCCGGGGATTTAAATCTTCTAACAGCAGTATCAAATTCTTGTATTTTTAAACATATACAAAGTCGCTGTCATGTTGTCTTTCCACTTTCAATGCTAATGTCTGGACATACCAAGAGACCAATAAGGTTGCATCTATACTGCATTGCTAATAACGGGTTTCAGGCCCCTAGATAATGGTATATGACATGTTCCTTTGGCTCGACCAAATCTCACTTCATCTGCAACTGGTCAAATTGCATCGTAAATTCCTCTGTTATAGGTGGCAACGTCTCAGAAATATATCATAACGGTAGTGAGGTGAGAGGTATTTTCTTTGCATCGCTTCTTTCATCTTCTCCCACTTGGAAATCTTATCACTGTTATCTCTTTTCCTTTGCCTCTATAAGTTGTCTCACAACAAGGAGGCGTTTTTTCTCAATTTGATAGATGCAAGCTTTACCCTTTATCCTTCTGATACCTCTTTGTATTCAAAAAATCTCTCAATTGGTTGAAGCTATTTGATAAAATCACCTGGATCCATACCTCCATCGAATTTTGATAGTTTTACTTTTATTATGAAATCTCTGTGTCCTCCACATGATGTCTCCTCTCTAGGCATTTTGTGATACTGGATTCTGCAACACTTGGCCTTTCTAATTCATCACTGAAATTCTTCCCATGGAAGGGGTTGAAATTCTCGTCTCTTTTGCCTCTTCGATTTTTCTTGTCACTTTCGTGGATAAGTCCCCCTTAGATGTCATCCCCAATGTCCGCAAGTTTTCTATGAAGTCAGTGGTTCTCTTGTTGTATCTCATCCTGGGTAGGCTCCGACATGTATCTTCACGGTGATATGACTAGGATTTAGGGTTGGGAGGTGGAAGGGGTGTATGAGGCTAATTGAAGGTATAGAAAATTTAATTTGGGGCTCTTTGATTTTGAAAATCAACAAGGTGAAATTTGGGACAGGTCAAAGTTTGGCTATGAATTGGAAATAGGACAAAAATATTTTGGTGTAGGGGTAAGTTGAATGCTAGGTAACCCTAGAATAAAACTAGCCTTAGACTAGCTATAATACCAAATAATACCAGAGTTAACACAAACCACGACCGAACAACAAATTTTATTGTTGAATTTAAAAAGTTACAATGACGAATCCTCAGCACAGAACGACACAAACATGCAAACGGTAACTAACTACGGCAACAATGCAAAATAAGAAAAAAACAGCACAAAACACATAAATGACTCGTTAAAGGAGAGGGGCAAGACCTGAAGGGGAGGGAGGAAGCTGCGGTAGTTCTGGAAGGTGGATGGTAGCCAGTGGCTGCAGCGCTGAATGGCATAGGAGTGATAGTGGCCTGCTAGGAGGAGGTTGGTAGCAAGTGGTTGTGGTGGCAAAGGGAGTAGGAGCGATGGCAATGGTATGGACAGCAGAAGGAAGAGGTGACTGGTGGCTGGAAAACAACTGGAAGACGTGGCGGTGGGCTGGACAGTAGTAAGAGTAGACGGTGGGCGGAATAGCAGCAAGAACAGGTGTCTGGGGCCGGACAACAGCAGGAACAAGCCTTAGGGGGGGCTGGCGACAACAAGAACTGGCCCGGAAGGGGCTGGTGGTAGTGAAGGCAGAACCTGGAGTGCTGACAGCAGCACTGGCAGCAGCAAAGACAGGTTCTTGAGGGGTTGGCAGGAGCAGGAAGGATGAAACGAGCTGAGATAATCACCTTGGAGGAGTTCCAAGTCAATTGAGTGAAATAAAAAACAGTCTTTTTCATAGCTCCCAAATGCACCCAATTTAATTATACAAAATGTTCAGTTCTTTGACGAATTTGATTGAAATATCTTAGCCCTTGTAACAATAGAAGAATCATAAAGAGAGGTAATAAATCAGTAGATCTAAATACGATAGTGGTATGATTTCTTATTGGATGCTCATCAAAGATGGAAACAATTTGCTTATCGTCCCTTAATTATGCTTGAGAAAGAAGACCACAACCACATAATAAAGGCCAATGACGCTTGCTCCCTTTCAGCCTTGTTTTACTTTTGTTTCTAACATTCGTATATATCCTTATGTGGAAGTTCAAAGGCCCAGCCATCACCTTTTATGGGTATCTCATATGATACTTAAACATGATGAACCTACACTAACATTAGCTATAGGATAGTTCTATTGGTACTAAACCAAATTGAGTTAAACATTTACAACACTCCCTTTCAATGTTGTTATAGTATACTTTGTATTATATTTATGATTTTAAAATTGAGTCCTCTGAGCTCTCAAAATTCTGAATGATTTGAGCACCGCATAACTTTAAAATCCCTAAATATCTCTGGCCTCACAATAGTTAATGACGTATTAAAAATATATTTTGCTGATTGTGTTGAATCCATCAGTACTAAAAGCATATCTGCCACTAAATATTTGCATTTTAGCTGTTCCATCACTCAAGAGTTTAAATTGAGATCTTATTGTTACCAATCTCACTGGATGGAAATGGAGCACATGGATGATGTCTTTAAACTCCCTAGGTTGTTAGCATTTGAGTGAACATCATTAAGTAATTTATGCTTATTTGATCAATAAGTGAGCTTCAATTTATCTCTTTCCTCACTTGAAGATTTTTGTTGTCTTTTCTATATTTTTTTAAAGTCAATTTTCAAAAATAATATTGACTTTAAATCTATGAAGTGTTAATTCATTGGATATGGAATTAATGATTTTAAATAAAAACTTTGCAAGGATTACAATCAGAAGTTCATTGAAAGTAGGACTATTATATACATTGAAGCTGATAAATGTGAAGTCAAGTTCTGAACAGATTGAACTAAAGAAAGTTCTTGAAAATGATATGCAAGAAAGAGGTCACGTGATTCATCAAAATTTTGAGAAACAACGTGAGCCTAGCAGGTTCGTGATATAATTGAGAACAACTCGAGGAATATGTAAGTCCTTCATTGCATTATTTATTGATAATTGATGTCGGTGAATGAATTATATTGAAGAAACAGTTCATGTTAAAGACTTCGTTAAGCAGGAGTTGGAAATGTAAGTGCTGGAGTAGAAAATAAATGGACATTAACTAAACTGCTAAAGGATAAGAGGGCGTTGTGCAATATATGAATTTGCTGGATCGAATAAGAAAAAACATAATGTCAACAAAATTTATCGAGTAGAGCTTTTGGTAGCATGATATCAGCAAAAGGAACTTGTTGATTTAAATTATATTATTTTCTCATTTCGTTAATCCATTTTTGCCAATGATATTTTTAAGATGCCAATATGTCTTTTCTTCATGAATAAGTCTGAAGATTCTGGAAAATAATTATTTATAAACTTGATACATATTTGTATGGTTTAAAGCATGCTCCTTATTAGTGATGCTAAAAATTTGGTCATGCATAGAATTGTCTTTACTAGATGCATTGCAAATGTATTCTTATTTGTCAATGATATGTTCAATGCACAAGCAAAGTTTACTAAAATCTATAAATTGAAGGAGTATGATCAAAATTCCCTTATGCTTTGATAGTTTTGTAAATAGCAATGTTTTGAGTGCTATGTATGTAAATGCGCCTAAATTCAAATTTAATTTACCTCTATGTTCCTTTGAACATTTGATCAAATCAGCTTAGAATACTACCTTACTTGTAAAAACTCAACTGCATCTTAATCACGTGGTTCTATTTATTTCAGTAAAGCTTGTTTTTCATCATTTTTTATTTTTTATATGGATTTTGTTTGTTATTAACTTTTACTTTGATAAGGATCTTGGGACTCAATATTCCCTTGCTTTTGCATGCCTTAGGAAAACTATGATTTGTTGATCGAGTCATTGTCAGGGAATGACCACTCATGGACTTCTTCAACATTAAAGGTCAGATAAGTGTTTTTTTCCTTAAGGTTTTATTTGTTCCCAACTTGATAAATACAGTAACTTAATGGGAAAGTGTGCGGGTTTTTCATTTTATTATTATTGAGGTTTCAATTGTTTAACGGTTGTTTGTGATCACTTATTTTGAGTATTTGAAAAATAACTTAATTTGTTTTTAAAAAGATAAAAAGCTCAAAATGATCCATACACTATTTATGTATGGTCATTTTAGATCAACTATCTCTTATCTCTAATTAGTCTCTTAGATTACTCAAATTTGATCCCAAATAGTATCTGTTGAAATTGCTATCTATATGAACAAAAAGCGGGCTCTCTTACTTAAACTTTTAGAAGGCATAAAGGAATGGTCTTTTAGGAAAATAAAATTTTCCTTTTTGTCATTTACATTTCCTACTACCGCAAAACTAGCTCATAAAAGTTTTAAAAGAAACTATCCATATGAGCAAATTTTAGCTTCAGCAAACTTATTCAAAACTTATCATAAAATTCTATAGGAGCTCTGGAGGGAAGATATGAGATAGTCCATGGGAGTAAAATGCCCACTAATTAGAGACTATTTTAAGTTTGTTCTCTTTTTTATAATAATAAACATAGTATTAATCAAGCAAGTTTTATCTAAATTTTTTAATTCCAAAAAAAAAAACATTAAATGGTCTTTAAAAGGCCTAAGCTTTTGCCCTACAGAAAGAAAACCTATTGTTCAAGTTATAAGAAGTTTGAGGAGTTTTTCCCACATTTTTCTTTAGAAAACATATTTTTTGTATAGGTTGTAGATTGCGGCTCATTAGTCAGATTTCTAAAAATATTTGGTGAAGTATAGAAAATGATAAGCCTAACTTGGTTAATCACCGTGACGAAAAAAGGAATACCATACAATTTCTTTATATTTACATATCTAATACCTAAACTTAACCTTTTACATATATACGATCCAAATCATTCATATCACATAAAAATACCTTAATTTTAACTTTGATAAAGCGAATTACACTTTTTCGTGCATAGGTAATGGGACATGTTTGTAAAAATTGAAATTTAGGTGTTATATATACACATAAGAATTGATTGGTATTTGTGTAAATCTTAAAAAAAATTAAATAAAATTAAGTGAAATTTATATACATTCCACGCAGCCCTTATGTATTTACATATCTAACATCTAAATAGTCATATTTACATGCCCACCATTCAATGTTTTAACATCACATAAAAAATCTACCATCACTAGCCTTTTAAAAGTGAAATTCACCTTTTCATGCATAGTTTCATAACACCAAAGTGTTATAAGTCTAAATTACAAACTTTGGATTTTAGATATGTAAATACTTATGGATTGAATGGTATCTATGTAAATCTTCAAAATAATAATAATAATAATAATTGTATACACAAATATGTTTGCATATCTAAAATACAAACTTTTTATACATATTTTAAAACAATGGAAACTAATATGATGAACTGAGCCCACCTGCCAAAGTGGTTGAACTGAGCCCACCTGCTGAAGCGGCTGAATCTCATCTCTTATGTAGAGCTGAACTAGTCCGCGTAAGAGGGACAACTACTATAGATGGCTATCATTACTAGCAAGGACACGAGTCCATTTAAAAGTGTTTCTTGACATCTGAATTACAGCCTTTTTTAGCAAGTCACCATGGATGGATGTCGCACTGTACTAAATGTATTTTATATTTTCTTCTCTTTTGGAGTAAAATGGAAGTCAAGATGAGTGAAAGGGATCTTGAATCTTTTCCCGGGAAACTTCTTTCTCTCTCAAAGCATCGTGATCCGAGAAACCTTCACGGGATTATTTTCTCCGGCTTACCAGAGGTTCAAGTTCAATACACAATCCCCGAGATCTTCTCTCAAGCTTTACATCCATCTTTTTCTTTTTCCTTTCTGTAACGAAAATAAGGTCTTTACCGAGCTATATATACCACGATCGATAGAGGGCCCTACGTCCTAAAAGATTCAATCCTAAAAGGCGCGGTTAGCGTGGAAGTTCATACCCAAACTCTGCAAGATTTGTCTATGTAATAAAAGATGAAGGAGAACGATGGATTGATGGATTGTACTAGAGAGTTTGTGATACAACAGATCAATGAGATGAGAGAACAAATTTTGAAGACCGTGCAAGATACAAGAGAGGCCTTCAAATCTCATTCCCAAACCGAGCCCAAAATTCATACGGGAACAGTGGCTCACAGGCAACAACCGCCAAAGCAAGTGCTACTGGAGCAGGAGCCTCCTAGTCAAAACTTATCGAGAGCCAGACCGAGGATAGCTCTTGACCCATTATTAGAGTTAGGCGAAGCAAAAAAAGACAACTTTGACTGCATGTAAGGACAACCTTCTGAAGCCTTGTATGAAGAGGAAAGAAGATGAAGAAGGCGAAGACTCACCTTGAATATTTAGATGAAGAAGCGAGACGAAGAAGATGACAAAGACAATAGATAGCACATTCTCAAAGGAGATTGTAGAAGCTCAAGCATTAAGGAAGTTTAAGATTCCTCATTTGTAATCTTATAAAAGGAGATCTAACCGTACCGATAATCTAGTTCCATTAAGGTCAACAGTCTGCCTGCTCATAATTAACGATGCTTTAAAGTGTCGTTTATTTTTCATGGCATTAAGAGAATCAGCTTAACGCGTGTTCAACAATCTGCTGCCAGGAGTCATCATTTCCTTTGAGAGTTCAAGCACATGTTCGTGGCTCTGGCTCAATCACGAGTCCGCAAAAGCTACCAAAAAACCCTCGAGCTCTCTTAAAAATTCACCAAGGACTTATGGAGAGCTTTAGATGATTCATTAACCTCTTCCAACGAGATATGCTATATATCCACGATCTAAAACCTGCTGTTGCTCACATCACCCTAGCGTAAGGTCAATGTGAGGGGTCGTTTCGGTACCCGCTTGACTTGTGGAAGCCAAAGATTTTGGCCAAGCTCCTCGAGCTTGCGAATAGCCACATATCTACTGGGGAGTATAAGTTCTGTCCTAGTTTCTCCCGACCACAAAAGTCTAAGGAGAGGTTTCAAAACAATTCTCACGACGATTGCAGAACCCGAAGAACCGCTTCAGAAAGAGGAAATCTTAGAACGCTCTCGACAAACATTTCTGACGGGAGCAGGGTGATACCAATAGGAGGTTGGTCGGAAGAAGGTCAGAGCAAAGTCACAAGCAACCTCGACTTCCTACCACTAAAGTCACACCTTTAAGGGTTTCAATGGTTGAGATCGTAGAGAACATTTAAACAAGGGCTTCAAGAAGCCATTTCCCATGAAGGTAGGAACACTCACCCGTGATCCCAATAGATTCTCTGCATATCGTCAAAATCATGGTCACGACACCGAGGAGTGTCAAAATTTTCATAGCCTGACCGAAAAATGGATCAGGGAAGGAAATTTGAAGGAGTTTGTTGCCCCTTAAGCCTGAACTCAAAGACAGGGTAAGACACTAGCCGAGGGTAATAGCGATGAACCCACTTCGATGAGACTGATCCACATCGTCAGCATCATGCCAACCATCTTTTGAGGAGACAAACCTGAAGCTTCGCAAATGTCCAGTCTAAAGAGATTAAGAACATGAGAGATTTATTCAATCACTAGGTCAAACACGCTACACCAATCTACCCTCCTGCCACATTCTCAGATGTCGATCTGCCCACTGGTGGAAATCCCTGTAATGATGTCATAGTATTCACTGCCATCATTGTTGATTACCAATTCAATAGTATCTTGATTGCTAACAGTAGCTCTGTCAATATTCCATTCAAAGGAGTTTGAGAAAATGGGGATAGCGGCTAATCGATTTGCCCCACCTTTGGACCGCTTTTTGTATTTTTCGGAGAACAAAAAGAAACTTGTGATTGCCCTTCTGATGACTTGGGGGGAAGGAGGACGCCAGTACGCGACAACAACCGATTTCATTATCATAGATGCCCCCAACATATATAATGTCATCCTCGGCAGACCGGTGCTGAACACCTTCAGGGCTGTTACTTCCAACTATCATGTCGCTGTCAAGTTTCCACCCTTAGGACAAGTCATCACCTTTCGAGAGACTTATAACAATCCCAAACTTGCTATTTATGAGCCACGGATGGTATGCATGATATACAAGAAGACATCCTCCTGCTCGATAGTAGTAAGGGCAACAACGATCTTGAAGCCATTGAGGTTTTCAAAGGAGGAAGGACCTTCCAGATCAGCGTTGAATTGTTGTCCCAAGAAATTATCGAGATGGCTTTGCATGGGCTCCCAACGAAATGCCTGGAGTCAATATCAACGTCATCTGCCATTGATTGGACTTAAAGTCAGGAGCCAAGCTCGTCAAATAGAAGATACAGGCAATGACAAGTAACCTAGCTCAACCTATCCCTCACAAAACTGCTAGATGCTAGTTTCATTCGGAAAGTGCAATATCCTGATTGACTTGCTAATATAGTAATTGCGAAAATGCAAGTGACAGATGGAGGATGCGTGTCAATTTCACCAACATGAATGTAGCTTGTCCGAAAAATAATCACCCACTACAGCAGATTGATGCGCTGGTCAACTTGGCAGCGGAACATTCATTCATGAGCTTTCTTAACGTATTCTTTGGATAGCCGCGGATCATGATGCATCCCACCGACACAGTAAAAATTGTCTTCATAACCAAGGAGGGGGTATATTGCTATAATGTGATGCCTTTTGGTTTAAAGAACGTTGGGGCAATCTATCAAAGATTGATAGATGCAATTTTCAGAAATAAAAAAAAGGAAGAAATGTTAAATTATACATCAATGATCTCCTCGTAAAAAGCAACTACCTGTCATGACTTCCAATAATGAAGACTATCACGAAAAACTTTATGCGCAACTACCTTTCGAAAGACCTTGGAAAGACCAAGAAGGTGCTCACCTCCGGTTCATCTGCCTCAAGATTCGGAGCAATAAATGAGCTGAAGTATCGAAGTTTTTGGCTAACAAGCCTATAGGG